AATGAACTGAGCTGTTTAAAGAGATAAATTAAACAGTTCTTTACAATGACCAATGAACTGAGCTGTTTAAAGAGATAAATTAAACGGTTCTTTACAATGAACTGAACAACTGTTTAAATGGAAACTTCACCGATGTTTATGTGAACAAATTACTCAAGTATGAATAACAGTTGTTCACACACGAAAAAATACAAGGACTTCATATTTATTATCAACAAAGGTTAAACTACAGCATGCTGAAGAACGTAATTATTTTTATCTTCAGTTCTACAGGACTATGCACATATATTTACAGAGATAATAAAATCGTTTTAATCTGAATCTTCGTCTTCTACTGGCAGTTGTTTGATTTCATCCTTCTGTGAACTTAAACGTGCTGAAATTTCTATAAAAACAACAATTAATATACTGACACACTTACGAACTGATTTCTAAACTTATGTTTTACTAGTAGGATTTAACAGATATAGTAATTCTACATTAAGTTTTGAAATCCTTAAATACAACTTCTAAAAGTTTATCAAACACATTCTTATTAGTTAGTATTATTAGTTTTTGAAATTATTCCCAGGGATCAATTTTGTTGAGCTAATCTAATCAAATAGTGGAAGTTGATTGTCATGCTTATGATGCACCCACACACCTTCAAAGTGCAGAGCCAATTTTGCATCAACCAAGAACCATGAGCCCACGGACTGACAGTGCAAGCACACTAATCACTAAGGGCATCCACAGCCTCTTGTAAAATAAACTATTAATTAAAAAATTTGCACGATGTCAGTAGCAAATAATGTTTCTTTTAACATTTAAAACAGTTTATATCAACAAGTATAAGGTTTTTCAATTTCAACTTGATAAACAACTAAAATTATCAACATCAAAGACAGATCCTTGAAATACAGAGAAAATAAAATCTTACAAGACAAGCTTTCTATCTAACCTTTAGCTGGATTAAAGACACTCATTGTCTGGACTTCACACACAAAATAAAATATTACAAGACAAGCTTTCTATCTAACCTTTGGCTGGATTAAAGACACCCATTGTCTGGACTCCACACACAAAATAAAATATTACAAGACAAGCTTTCTGTCTAACCTTTAGCTGGATTAAAGACACCCATTGTCTGGACTCCACACACAAAATAAAATATTACAAGACAAGCTTTCTATCTAACCTTTAGCTGGATTAAAGACACCCATTGTCTGGACTCCACACACAAAACATCTTTTGGACTTCTGATAGTGACGTAATGCACATTTTTCACAGAAGTAATGCTTGCACCTGAAATTTGAGTTACAGATGATAATACCAACACTCAGTAATAAGACAAAAACATGTGAATCGTTATAACTTAAACATCTGATGGGTGTTACAGATGATAATACCAACACTCAGTAATAAGACAAAAACATGTGAATCGTTATAACTTAGACATCTGATGGGTGTTACATATGATAAAATACATAAAACATTATAACTTTCAATGTCTTATATTAAGAACATAATAATTTGTCTTTTTAAAGAACTTTAAAAAAAGCCACATTTTGTACAAAATGAATGTTGTATAATGTTAGAATAATAAATAACACAACATTAAAATAGGTACAAAATTAAAAACATTTTAATTGAGAACAATCTATGACCACTAAAAAGTTGACCCTACATGATTCGACATTGTAACGCCCTCTTCTGGAGTGAGTTGCAAGCCGTAATCGTGTCCTATTTATACTTTTTTCTTGTTAAATAGGTATAGCGAAGACATTATTATGTCTTGAAACTGTTGTTAATTGTGTATCTATTTTAGTATTGTGTGTTATTTATTATTTGAACATTATACACAAGTGCCAATAAATAATACTTGATGTAATATGATTTATAACTATACGGTGACACATATTAAAAGAAAAGCTATTAACTTTGAGGCATGATTAAAGAATGAACTATAAGTAATGAATGGGTTCGTAGACAGTACACCAAACTTACAATCAACATGACACAGGATGTATCTAGATTTGATTTTATTCTTTATGCAAAGTTTAAGATACTTTGAATTGGAGACTGTGTTAGTTTCCAGGTAGCAATTCTACGATTAATTTATAGTTCTGAATACACAATAAAAGTCATTTTTTTATCTCAATATAAATGCTGTTTCTTGAAGACAATGTTTAGGCACTTAGAGATACGCAGAAACTAAAACTGGTTATGTAACTCAACAAATGCTCTTTAAATCACATTTAAAACATATTTAAATACATTTTCCACTATTCTGGAAAATGACAAAACAATCACAACTGGATGTTATGAAATTATGTTCTGTGTTAAAGTTCATATTCAAATACAAATTAAAACTGAAAACAAGAATAAAGAAAGATGAGATTTATGTCTTATCAGATTTGAGAGATTATGTTATCGTCGTACATTTGACTAAATCTCCTCTAACATCACATATCCAGACTATCATCAAGTGATATTATTTGTTGTGATTAACGCTCCTGTTCTGGTGCTTGTTTTGGAAGTGTGTATGAATTTTTTTTTTCTGTTTGGTTTTGCAGCAGTGAAAAATAATGACGTTATTTTATTACTTAAATACGAAATTTATTTCAGAAACTACTTTGGAATAATTAAAAAAAACACAATATATATATAGCCTCTTAGGTAATACCTGAAATACAGATTTACATAAATAATAATAACATACTACATACAGAGTTGACTTACAATATAAATCAATACAATATCAAATTAACAAAAAATTTACATAACGTTAAGCCTAATGAGCAAGTAGTTTCTGAAATTTTTTTTGTTACAAAATTTAACAATGCATGTATTGCTTTCACATTAATTGAGTTTAGTTTAAAGCTTTGACTTACCAACAAAGGCAACGTGAACAGAACCCTAATGAACTAATTCGTGGACTATAATTTACATTTTCATAGAATAACTTGTAGATTGACAACAATTAAAAACAAATGTGCATAGAAAGTACAAATTAGTAATTTAATTAGTGTTTATTCTGCTCGTATTAGGCCAGTTGTGGCTGCATACAAGTTCCTTCACTTACTTTGTTACCACTGGATCTTTGAAGGACTCACGACAAATGAAACACTTGAAAGGAAGGCTTTCTTCATCAGAGCTTATTTCATAGCGAGTGGAATCCTCCTCACCATAAGTGTGGCTAGCCATCTCTAGTTCTATCTGCCAGCCGTGCTTGTAGTCAGAACGGTCGTGCATGAACTTACAACTGTCTGTGGAAATTATCTCTTCAATTACAATGCATTACTTCATACTTACTTTAACAGCATTAATGACACATTCTTTAATAAACAAAAAAAAACACTTTTACTGTCTCTTAAAGCCATTAAATTATTACAAATCACATGTAACAACACCATGTTTTATCAACGTGTTCATGTCAATTTTCAAGTAAATCTGTACAGACAACTTTAACAGCATTAATGACACATTCTTTAATAAACAAAGAAAAACACTTTTACTGTCTCTTAAAGCCATTAAATTATTACAAATCACATGTAACAACACCATGTTTTATCAACGTGTTCATGTCAATTTTCAAGTAAATCTGTACAGACAACTTTGACAGCCCCAAATATTCTTGATCTCATACAAGAAAGTTCTAGTATAACAATATTGAAAATTTAAATATATTTATTTATTTTAAATTATGATGTTTTACACACAATCATTCCAATTGCCATATAAACCTCCGACTTCAGTCCTAAGAGTGAGAGCCTCCAAAACTCCTTTGACCTCTACAGTGAAGGGTTAAATTTAGAAATTTCCAAAATCTAGAAAACAGGTGTTAATACCATTTATGGGGCAACACCCTCCCCCCAAGAGTCTTTCATTAAATGTTTTCTTTGTTTATAATCTGAGAGGGTCAAGACCCTACATGCAAATATTCAAATGATTTGTTACATGTGCAGAAAGAGTTCAAAAACCAAGTAGACAAAGATAGATATACCTGAGAAATACAATACAAATTTTCTTAAGAAACACTGTAAATTCAAAGGGGGAAAACAAAACAAGATTTATTTTTAAATATCTATCCCGTTAAATTTCTTTTGGTGCCGATTGTGCAAGTATATCAGGTCTTTTAAAACCTAGATGCCAAAAAATTACAATTTTTGTAAGATTAGATTTCTATTATCAATATTTAATACCTTAACTTAGTAAACCTATCATTTGTGATTTTTGACGGTGCTTATAAAAGCATTAGAGCTACAGTGATAGCTATTTTAATGCAAGAGAACAGGCTTTACCTTAAAATTAAATAAAAACATCTACAGAGTATATTAACATTTAATAAATATAAAACACCAAACTAAGTAAAACAAATCCTAAGTTACACAAAAAGTAAATACACAACAGATGACACTTCTTTAAACACAAGGTACATGTGTTCCTGGCAATACTCCTGTTATTAAAACATAGGAAATCACGTTTCAACAGATGACACTCCTTTAAACCCAAGGTACATGTGTTCCTGGCACTACTCCTGTTATTAAAACATAAGAAATCTTGTTTCAACAGATGACACTCCTTTAAACACAAGGTACATGTGTTCCTGGCAATACTCCTGTTAAAACATAAGAAATCATGTTTCAACAGATGACACTCCTTTAAACACAAGGTACATGTGTTCCTGGTAATACTCCTGTTATTAAAACAGGAAATCACATTTCAACAGATGACACGTCTTTAAACACAAGGTACATGTGTTCCTGGCAATACTCCTGTTATTAAAACATAGGAAATCACGTTTCTAGCAATAACTAGTTTTGTTTAAACAATACAAGTCAACTTGCCTCCAAATCCACAAAATCCAGTTTCTTTGTAATCTTTACAGATGTCAGGCTGGTAGTCCCACCGAACAGTTGCTCTCAAGTTGTCTGGTGCCCGAATAGGTCCCTTTCTGAAATAGTCAACTGAGGTCAAGTACAACCTCAAGAGTGTTACAAGTAAAAGTACAAAAGCCAAAAACTTTAACTCTTTCAGCACAGACCCGGTCCCTGGGACTGACCTCGTAACTGTCTCGTGCTTGTTATAGTTTTCGTGCTATAACAATTAAATTATTAAGCGTACTTTCACAAAATTTGGCAGATTATCAGTAAACATTACATATGCAAAATATCAGATTTTTTTTATTAAGTCTTAAGGTTTGTAAAGCAATGTTTTTCTCGTGCCTTTTTTCTTTTCACATGTTCCCTATCCAACATGCAAAGTAATTTTCATTTTAAGATTAAAATACTTTTATGCATCAGAAAAGTTTCAAATTTCACATGCAAAATACTTTATGAAGTCCAGATAGTTATCAAATGTTTCTTAAGAAAAAACTTTTATTTTCGCTAACGAATATCTGTACAAGTTCAGTCAATTTCACCGATCTTGTAACCACAAGAAAATATTAGGAAATAAATATCAATTATGCCTTTTTCGTTCTAGAATGACTGCAGATTAAAACACAAATGTTTAGACTAAATAGCTTAAATCTCATAACATTATACATTGATATGTATTTATTATACTGACCTTCTAGTTGTGCATTTATATACACGTATATATAACATGGTGTTATATTAAGATGTTCTTAGTGTTGAAAAACAGTAAAAATAATAAAGTTTCTACTATGATTAAAATGAAACCATACTTTATAATATGGAAAGGGATTAATATACAGCTATCATAAGATAGAATTAAAGCATGGGAATATGTAAAGAGATTAATATTTAGCTTGATAATATATTAATAAAAGACATGTTAAGGTAAGTTGGATAAATATACTGTAAGATATTATGGAAAGTCAGACAACAACCAAAATTACCCACAAGCTCGGTAGAGATGTAACTATATTAATTTGGTACTAAAACATAACAAGAGAAGTATATCATAAAAATATAATCATGCTAATGTCTAATACTTCAATAAAATTCTGCTATCTTTGTAAAACAGTTGGTGTCTGTTTTTACCTTCATTGTATCACAAATAAATTGCCAAGTCATCAATTAAAGAAAATCAAGACAGAAGCTCTGCATGAAATGGAACTTCTTTAGAATTTTAGCAAATTATCAAAGGTCTGACTTGGAGATTAAGCACATCCATAAAAGGAAAAGCTTACCTAACCATTCCACTGGAAGCATTTCCTTGAGCTGTGTCTTTTTTTTTAATATACTGTATGTAGTTGTTTATACCATGGTACTTCTTATCATCACCAGTTTCTTTCAGTTCCTTTAAGTAGAGAGAAGTACCCAAAGTATTATTTATTATCATGTACTATGCCACAAAAATTTGTGTTACTGAACCATTAAAAGTCCTTTAAACGGCAAGCACCAGTGATTCTTGATTTACATACATAAATCTTTCCCAGCAACAAGCATTTTAAAATGTACTACACGTTAAAAATACAACTAATGTTTAATAAATGCTGGCTACTTTGAACATTATACTTTCTTAAGAATATTGACAGCAGATATTATTAAGCTAGTATAAAAACTCATCAAAAATAACAGGAAACAAAAGCGTATCAAATTTGAACACTCCAATACGCATTTGCAACTTTGCCACCCATAAACAGACATAAGAAAAATAAAGGACCTTCTAGTTTCGGGAAACCAAAACCTATCATGAGCAATATCTACTTTACCTAAAGAGTGTAAACATGCTACATATTGGTGTCTTTGTGTAGAAGATTAAAACATCCGATGACCATGTGATTGCATATATATCTTCCCTACAGATAATTTGTATCTTCAGTCTGTTTTAACAAAGGCCTTTTTCGTAATAATTCCCAAGCACAGATTTGCACAAATTTTTTACTTATTTTTCACAAAATTCTTCCTGTCTTTCCTATTCAGATCCAACCAAGCTTGATGTCATAATGATGTGGTGTCACACACATAACACCTTGCCTGATCTGATCCTGGGAACTCCCTCCTTGACAGGTTTATATGTAGCAGAAAAAGTGCCGAAATTTAGGAGCTATTTACGAGTATGTTAGCGATTGAATTCAACTAAAAATGGGAACGGGAAATCAAAAAAGGAAGTATTATAGGAGAAAAAGTGGAAATGGACTCGTGTAACTCATGAAATTCTGAGAAATCAAGCTTGACCAACTGACTGACCATCCGACACTTGGCTTTAAAATATATCAATATTACTACAAACAATACTTGTACAGACTTGTACATTTTACTAAAATCTGGCGACATTTTGTGTCAATGCAAATGGTAAATTCGAAATTATAGTTAATATTCCTTTCCCAATACGGGGTTGGTTCAACGGGCCAACTCCATGCACATTTAGTTAATACATTAATTTGTATTTGGTATATTTGACCTTTAACCTCCAAATAAACAGTTCTTCCACATCCTCAAAGGAAATGATTTGTAATGCTTGATTAAAATCTGCTGTTTAAAATGCTAGTTATGGTATGAAACATAGATGGCTACAGACAGACTTTATTGCCATATCTCACAAATTGAGATTGGAAATTGGGGGATACAAATAAATATATTTACCTAATCTACTATAAATTAGCACAATAGGAACTTCCATATAGCCTGTGGCGCTTCTGCAGATAAAGAATAAAACAAAACAATTCTATTTAAAAAATTTTTAACCACTCAGATTCTTATAAAACATCGACATGTAGTAAAATATAAATATAAAAAGTTCATTAAACCAAAATACTGATGCAATAAATTTAAACATTTCACTGTGATCCACACATTGGTAGTCTCACCTCATTAACTTTTTGAGATCGTTCAAATATGGCTTGTGCATCTTTTTCCCTCTCGGTATCTACTTGAACAACAGCTGTTGCACCCATATCAGCGGGACCTTCACTTGCCTTCAAAGTAATTTTGTCATAAATCTTACATCTCGTATAAGAATAATATATAACACATTAAAACTCAAAACCCAAACAAACACAGATTTTTTTATTATATTTTCTAATCTTTAGAACCTATTTAACACATTGTTAACTGCAGGTCACATTTTAGTAAACTTTCCCAAACTACACAGGTTCGTATATGTACAACACTTAAATTGAAACTGTTCATGCTGGGAGTTTAAAATTGTAAATTATTTTACATGGGCTACCTTCACTGTAGAAAAACTCTGCCTTACTCGGCTAAAAAATTTTAGACATAAAATTCCTGAAATTGAAAACATACTGCGATTCTCCTAGACCTGTATGTCACACTGAAGTCATTTTTTTCTTCTTCACTATCGCTTCCAACTTTAATTTTTTTCTTTTCTGTGGGCTTAGTCTGAAACATCATAAATAAAGAAATCCATAACTTATATTGTATTTTAACAGAAACAGCAGAAAAGACTATAAATGTTTCATTTATTGGTATTCTGTGACCAATGTGAGATCTGTTAAAAAACATTTCAAAATGATGTTTAAAAAATCTTTTTACATTCAATGGATCATTGTAGTATTAACAACCTTTGTACACAAAAGTTACTGTATTTTTAGTGTTCAAGTTTCCTAATAAATACGAACAATACCATAAATATATCTACAATAATATAATGATTGAATTTTAGTAGTCATTTTAATTTCATTAAGAATCCTATGATGTTAAATTATGCTACCAGTATTACTATGTATGTCCTAAGACTAATAATGATCCTCTTAACCCTCTTCTTAACTCTTTCCAATAAGAATCCCTTCTTAGATTAGGAAACCAAAACTATAAACAGTATTCCCAGTCAGGCCTAAATAATGAGTTGTATAAATAGATAATCATCCCTTTTGACTCATAATCAGTAAGCCTATAAATACACCTGAAAATTCTATTACTGTTACTACCAGTAACAGAACACTGCTTGAGTGACTTATTTTTCTCTATGCTTTTCTTCCTTTTCTTCAGGCATGTAAATGGCTGATCCAAACACATTACCTTGCACTTACTATAATTAAAGATAATTTACCAAATTATTCTGTATAAACACAACATCCTCAATACAACTAAAAATACTCCAGAGTTTAATTTCATCAGCAAAAGACTGAGGCTAAAGAATTAAATCCTGAGCTCCTCAATTAGTAACAAGGATTTAGTTTGATTGGAATCCGTTAATAGCAACCGTCTGCTTTTGCCCATCCAACCGCCCTACAATCTATTTGTCCCTGTAAAGTTTGTTAATTAGACTTTCCCAAACTCACTCCTTGAATCATAGGATTAACTGATTCATTCTTTTTTTCTTTCTTCACAATAGTTGTCTCATCTTCACTGCTACCTAAAAATAAATTAAAATAATAATCATGTTAACCCACTTAATAACAGGTACAAAAATTGTTACCATAATAGCAAACAAATTCTCTCAACTCAAGATCAGTTAAACATGCTTTTCAGATATGTGTCAAGGGCTTTCTGGTTTCTGTGTACAGGTACTTTTTAACATTTTGTAAGCTACAAAAGGCCATAGTAGCAAGACAAACACTAACATACATCAATGTTTTCCACAGATATATATATATATTCACACATTGTACATATAAATTATGTAATAACATTATTTACTTAGTAAAATACAATCTAAAGATTTAATGACACAACCAGTAAAAATTGTTATCAGCATTAATGTTTTTAAATGTGATTGTTTGTAACACCCCATATTAAAAAGTCCCAATTAAGATTCAACTAGAAATAAAAACCAGATAATGATAGTAAAACCTAACTACCAAAGAAATTTCTACAATAAAATGTCCCAGTTGGAATATGGACAAACTAACTATCTTGGAATATGGACAAACTCTAACTTTCTTGGAATAAGGACAAACTCTAACTATCTTGGAATATGGATAAACTCTAACTATCTTGGAATATAGACAAACTAACTATCCTGGAATAAGGACAAACTAACTATCTTGGAATATGGACAAACTCTAACTATCTTGGAATATGGACAAACTCTAACTATCTTGGAATATGGACAAACTCTAACTATCTTGGAATATCCTTATTCCAAGATAGTTAGTTTGTCCTTATTCCAAGATAGTTAGTTTGTCTACAAACTAACTATCTTGGAATATGGATAAACTAACTATCTTGGAATATGGATAAACTCTAACTATCTTGGAATATGGATAAACTAACTATCTTGGAATATGGATAAACTCTAACTATCTTGGAATATAGACAAACTCTAACTATCTTGGAATATGGACAAACTCTAACTATCTTGGAATATAGACAAACTCTAACTATCTTGGAATATGGACAAACTCTAACTATCATTAAGTAACTAAACAAATTTTAACCACATCACTGCTGCTGTATATATTTTCTTCTGTTATCAAAACTTACTTTAATTACAACAAATAAATGGAAACATATTTTACCATATTGCCACTTTTACCCTGTAAAGTTTTAAAACCATTTAGATATATATACGTGCGTGTGAACAAATTAAACTTGACAAAATTATAAATTACTAAACACTACACACACTTATACATATGTACTAAACAAAATGGGGGTTTCTATTACTAAACCAGCCAGAACTTCTACCTCCCAGAAAATAATTTAAATTTAAACACATCTCAAGTATCAAATTAAAAATATTTGGCAAAGAATTGTATTACTTGCAATTAGAAAAAAAATATGTACATATAAAGAGAGAGAGGCCAGAATTACACATTTCTGGTGCTATTAAATGGCCTAAATGCCTAAATTTGATGACATGCTTCATTGGTAGCATGCTTACCAGGCTTATGGCAGTTATGCAATTATATGATCACATCTACATTTCATTATTAAAAATGGGATGACATTACTGAATTTTCTTGTCACCAATAACATGCATTACATAACTTATGACATAATTTTAAATAATTCACTTATCTTGTTAGAATAAATTTAGACATAAAAATAAATATTGAAAAACGTAATATAACTCAAAAGTGTGGTGTTAGAGTTTCTACAGTTACTAAAGATACTCAGAATTGAAAATTCTTCCAAAATGACACTAACAGTAAGATGAGTTAATCAAAAATAATAAAACGAACTTTGCCAATTTGCGTGACTTTTAAGTTTAACATACAAAAATGTTCTACCTACATTATAATTAACGTAACACTAAAAGACTCTATAACTTATTATAAATGCATTATGAAATTGTAGTTATTCGTTGTCTGGAGTGCAACTTAACTGTTTTAGACTTGAGATAGGGCCCACAGTCTACACAGATTAGTTATCAGATCAAGAGTAATACATACCACTAATGTCTGTGTTTTCATTGTTACAATGTTAGTCGTTACATTAATGAATGCCCTGAAACTGAAGTTGAACTGTAGCATAACTTCAGATTACTATTAAAATAAATCTATATATCAACTACAACATACTCTTTTCTTCATCACTTTTATTTCTCTTCCGAGCATTCTGTCTCATTCTATTACTTCGTTTAACAGTAAATTTACATTTACTAAATGAAGCGATCTCTTCTCTTTCCGCCATATTTGTAGTTCTCCCTCTATCGCTTAAATCAAAACTTTGTTAAAATCGTGTTTTTTTAATATAATACCATCTTTTATGTGCATAATAACTTTATTAGTCAATACAAGTTTCCAGGAAAAAAGTTTGTTTTATAGCAACTAAATTATATTTTGTTTATTGTATAGTGATGTAAATATGACATTTCGCTTACAACCAAAGCGCATAATCCAAAGTGATTCGGATATGTGTGTTTGTATACGTGGACCTTTTTGTTTTGATCAAGCCGTATTTTCATTTAACCAGTAACTACTATAGTGAAATTTATGTGATTCATGTTGTTTCATTATGTTAGTAATTATATTTGTTTGTAATAATATTGAGATTTGTTTTTATTTGTATATTTAGTGAAAGATTTGAATACAATATACTAATGATGTTTTAAAACAAATTATAATTTTATAAAAGTTGTTTAGGGTCGGTGTATGTTTGTCTATTTTAGCGCAAAGCTACACATTAGATTATCTGTATTCTGTCCACCACGCAGAATCGAGCCCCGGATTGCAGCGTTATAAGTCCGTAAGCTTACCGCTGATCCACTGGGGGACTGGAGCCGTTTTATCCACCTAAAGTTACAAAATGTTAAATAAACATTTTGTTTTATGTGAACCTATTGCTAATGATTTTTTTTTTAACTAGGCGTGGAAGTATCTAGTCTCCATTACAATCTTAAATGTTTTTTTTTTAAAGATCAATAATTCTTTCTCAACTGAAATGCTTGTAAATTGTACTTCTAACAGATGTACAAACAATACGATTATTTATTATTAAAGGCTACAACTACGATTTTTTAGTTTGTGTTTGTTTTTGTAATGTTATGCTCCAAGGTTATATTGGAGTTTTCAATAAAAAGGTATTAAAGTTTTGTTACGACCGCGGGGGTCACGTGACGCTAGTAACACGTC